CACACGCAACCTACTGATGTCTAAGACATTAAACACACCAACCTGTTCACTGGCTATGGCAGTTATGTTCACAGGCATCTGGGGAGACAGAGGTGGGCTGGGAGCTTCAAGTTTCTGAGAATGGAAGATGTAAATTTTGTAGCAATTTCTTGCTTGCTGGCCACTACGTTTGGCTTGGGATTTACTGTAGCACTCATTGATTGTAATAAGAGTTGTGGCCATTTAGCAAATAAGAAAAAAAAAAAATCAGGATATACATTTCACTGATGTCAAGGTGCACAGAGCTGAGATCTCTCTTGATGTTAAAATTAGAAACAAATACTTGGGGACAAACATGCTTTTGTATCAAGAACAAGATTTACAGTGCATTTCAAGATAAACAGGTTAATCCTTCACTTTTATAAATGTGATGATAGTTAATTTGTGTGAGGAAATTAATAAAGATAGCACTCACCTTCTTCATGTTCTTATTAGGGGAATAAGAGATCCTTTTTCTGGGGAGATCAATGGGACAACCTTCAACATGCAACAGGTTTCGTTTTCTATCATTGTGGGCTTCAGAAGCCATAATCTCTTAGATACCTACATTAAGACAATAACATGGTAAGAAAATATTTTTTCCTCAAAACTTCAAATGAGAAAAAAAAAAAATCAGCAACTATTTCCAACTTTTGGTATTACTATCTCTAGGATTAAAAAAAAGAAACCGCCAAAAACAGAAGTATACTTAAGACAAGGTGGCTAGGGACAGACATTACACATAAACCAGTTTAAGTGATCAGAAACTGGTTTAAACCTGTAACACAACAGAAGTTCAGTGCACGTAAACCAGTTCCAAAATAGCTGGAACTGGTTTAAGATAAAACCTGGCTCAACGCAGTATCAGACTTAACTGATTGAGCTCAAACCAGTTTATGAAACTTCTGTCCTAGACCCCTTCCTGGTTCAAGTTAAATCACAGTCCCCCAGCATCCCAGGCTGCTTTCCAGCCCTGTCTGCTCCAGAGAACAGGGCTGGCTCCACCACTGCTCCCTAACTAGAGCAGTGAAGGCTGGCTGACAAGGGGAAGGAGGTGGGAGCCTGAACACCCCTTCCCCAGCTCAAATTTACTGCTGGCAGCAAATGTGGACTACAAATCCTAGGAGGCACCTGGAAGCAGGAAGAAGTAGTGATGAGCAACCCAGCAGATTCCTGCTGTTGTAATTTTGGACTCCAAATCCCAGAGACCTCAGGGGCAGCAGGAAGAGGAAGTGAACACACAGCCAAAAGGTGTGCTCTAGTGCCCCCTCCCCCCAGCTTCTGGCCTCAGCCACTGCATGCATGTGGCTGCATTGCCTGACTCAAAGATAAATGTCTGTTTACTAATGTTTCAATTTACTTTGTGCAGCTTAGACCAACTTGCAAAGACTGAATCAAGCCTCAGGCTTTTTGACAGTCTGTACCTAGCTGGTGAGAGAATATATATTTCCTAAGAACAAGAGTACATAAACCCATATCCATAAACCATATGTAAAGAGTACATAAACTTATGTTGCAGATCACCTTCAACATCATGAGACTTAAAAATTACTAATTGGCCAGCATGTAACTATTTATTTATTTTTACAGAATACATACTTAAGTCCCATAGCTCTTAATTTACATTGTTTACTGTCTCCACAAGATGTTATTTAAATCAGCAGCTGCTTTTCTCAGCTCCTCCACTGCACTTTAATACTCATAATATATATTAGCAAATACAGATGTTCTTGTTGATTCTCCTCATGTTACATCAAGTACCAGACTTCAGTGAAAATAACATTAATCTTTATTAGTCAGATGAAAAACAATCAGTAACTGCTGCTCCCCAAGGAAAGTGCATGCTCTGAAGACATTTGAAATTGGCATAGATCAACTAACCAGTGGACTGCAACTGATCTTACTATTTTCTTTCAGGTTTTATTTAGATGTTTTGTGATTTTTAAAAGAGGTTTTAGGTCAGGGTGGGCAATTATTTTGGGTGGAGCACCACTTACTGAGTTTTGGCAAGCCATCGAGGGCCACATGACAGGCAGCCAGGGGCAGATAAATATTAATTTGCTAAATTTTTAGAGGCACCGCGGGCCAGATAGAATGGCCTGCCAGGCTGCATCCAGCCCCTGGTCCACATTTTGTCCACCACTGTTTTAGGTACATTAAGAATAATCATTTTATATTTCTTGCCAAAAGGACAACTCATCCAGCAGTGCAGTTTAGTACTACTGAATCATTTCTAATTCTTGCACCGGTTGAACATAAATTTTTGAAACACTAACTTACACCACGTAGAGTAGAGCATGAACACAATAGCAATAATCACCTTCCTACTATTGCCATAGAATTGGTGCATGACCAATTAAAAAGAGAAAAAAAAAAAAATCAGATGTATCCAAAGTCAGCAGGACTGGATGATCTTCATCCAAGAGTGCTGAAGGAACTGGCTGAAGTCGTTGTGGAACCCCTGGTGAAACTCTTCCACAACTCATGGCACTCTGGAGAAGTCCCTGAGGACTGGAAGAGGGCCAGTGTTGTGTCCATACACAAGAAGGGCAGGAGAGAGGATCTGGCTAGTTATAGGCCAATCAGCCTAACTTCCATCATAGGGAAAATCCTAGAAAAGTTCATCAAAGAATCTATCAGTAATAAGCTTGCAGAAAGTAAGATTCTGAATGACAGCCAGCATGGCTTCCATCACGGGCAGGTCTTACCCAGTCATAGGAGATTAGGTTAGTAAGGCAACTTGCCACCTGGACACAAGACAGCAGGTTGACATTGTATACCTAGACTTCCAAAAGGCCTTTTATCTAGTATCCCATGATGTCCTCACTAGAAAATTGGAGGATTGTGGGCTTAACTCCGAGACAGTTAGGTGGATGAGAAACTAGCTGCAGGATAGGACCCACAGAGTCGCAGTGAACGGATCTGTGTCATCCTGGCGAGAAGTGGGCAGCGGTGTCCCACAGGGGTCAGCGCTTGGTCCAGTACTTTTCAACATCTTTATTAACGATTTGGATGTGGAGGTGAAGAGCTCACTGGCCAAGTTTGCAGACAACACCAAGTTATGGGGTAGCATGGTCACACTTGAAGATAGGCTACAGATACAGGCAGACCTGGACAGGCTAGCAAGTTGGACGGATCGGAACCTGATGAAGTTCAACACTGAGAAATGTAAAGTACTCCACCTCAGGAAGAGCAACCCCCAACACACCTAGTCTTGGCGGCACCAAACTGACTAGCACCACGAATGAAAGGGACCTGGGGGTAATAATAGACCACAGTATGAATATAAGCCCACAGCACAAAGCTGTAGCCAGTAGGGCAAATAATACATCAATTGATGCATGCCAGGGTATCTCCAGCAAAGCCAAGGAGGCGATTCTTCCACTCTACTCAGCACTGATGAGACCACAGCTGGAGTACTGCATCCAGTTCTGGGCACCACACTTTAACAGGGACATGGACAAGCCTGAGAGACTCCAAAGAAGAGCCACCTACATGATCAGAGACTTGCATGGCAAGCCATATGAGGAAAGGCTGAGGGACCTGGCACTCTTCAGCCTGAAAAAGAGAAGGCTGAGAGGTGACTTGGTAGCAGCTTACTGCTACATTACAGAAGTACTTCAAAGGCTCAGTGAACAACTGTTCACAAGGGCACCCGAGGGGAAAATCAGGAGTAATGGCCACAAACTCCTGGAAGATCAATTCAGGCTCAACATTAGGAAAACTTTTTAATAGTTAGAGTGTCCAGACTGTGGAATAAGCTCCCTCCAGAGGTGGTGCAGTCACCTACCCTGGAAATCTTCAAGAGGAGACTAGACAGTCACCCTGCTGGGATCACCTGACCCCCAGTTATCTTTCCTACTTGGTGCAGGGGGCTGGACCCAATGATCTTCTGAGGTCCCTTCTGACCTTACAATCTATGAATTAACTATTACAACTTGTTTCAGTGACCACTAATTGTATTGTTTTTACCATTTTAATTTGTCCATATCACTTAATATAGGATCAGTCATTCCTCATGCAACATCATATACTTAGGACTTATATGTTGTTTATCCTGGCAAAATGAATGGGACCAACAATTATCAAATGGCAGGAGACAGCATGGACAGGGTTAGGTCATGTTCAGATGAGAGGATGAACCATGTGAGAATTACAGGTCCCAATTCTTGCTAGTCTAGACAAGTTTAGAGTGTCAAGACCAAGTGATCAGGTTTACACAAAAATACATATTGTATGAGCGCGTGGGCAAATCTAACATTAATCTAAAATACATTTTTTTCCTCTGTTATGCTAAGTCTTGTGAAGGAAGTTGCACTGATGCAAGACTACATACCTTGTTAAACAATTCAGTACAAGTTCAGTGGTCTGACACAGAAATGAGATATTTCTTATTTCTAAGCAATTATCTGAATCTAGCACAGATTGGAAGTGACTGAAGCCTGTTACCATTCAACAGTTTTTAGAGGCCTATACTCGCAATATAGGTGCATGTTAATATTACAAAAGTGTTCATAAGATAAAATGCTTTAACCCAAGAGCATTCATTAAAGAACTTAAGGTACAGTGGACTACATCTGCTTTAACTTTTGAATGACAGCATCTCTGTGGAGGTTTAATACACTGTAACTTGTATGCATATTTAACTGATGCAGCTGTTGCTTTTTGTTTTCATGTTATTCAAAGTAATCTAAAGAGCACCATTTCCAGACCACTGACAAAATGTTATGGCTGTGGCACTTAAGAGCTCCATCACTACTCAAACTAAAATATTTTGCAACTGTTTAGGTTATTGCTTGGAACTAGCATATCACCAGGGATCTGTTTTTCTATTTGCTGTAGAAAAACGAGGACTTCCTCTTTTAATAGAGAAAAATGCAGATTTTCTCTTTTTAAAAGGAGAAAGCAATGGATTTTTCTTTGTTTACATGTACATGGCAGCCAGGCAACAGCAGAAAGGAACTCCCTCAAAGAAGTCTATGGGGGGGCCCCACAGGCTACATGTTTTTTTTTGGGGGGAGGGGGGGGCGGAGGGTGAAGGCACAGGTGACGTAGCTGGAGGACATAGGCCCGAGATTCCTACACTACAGCAGGGTGCAGGGCTTCATTTAAGCCAGACCAGCTCTGGGCATATAGCCATGGAGACAGCTTCACTGCCAAGGCAAAACATCCCCTGCCCACCCTGCAATAGCGAGGGGCATAACTCTGTACTGCAGCTGCTTCTGCACCTTACCATGGCAGCGTGGTGCTTCCTCATGTGCTAGGTCCCGGTTGTTGGGCCGGAGGCAGTTCCTCCGAAGTTGGTCCAGCCCTGCTGAGGTTCCATGCCGACTTCTGCAGTTGCAGAAGTCTCAGGAGCAGTTGTCCTGTTCCTGTCCCCATCCCCCCCCCGCTTTCTCCAATACCCATGCTCTTCCTCACATAGTGGAGAAGTAGGAATAGCATCCTGGCTGGTAAGTCTGTGGGGAGGAAGGAGTGTGGGAGAGGAAAGGGGCATGGGGAGTGGAAGATAGAGGCCATGGTGAGGGAGGGAGTGGGGCAGGGGCTTCACTGCCCTAGCTGTG